TACATTTAAATCTATGATCCATTTTGAGTTAATTTTGTATAAGGTGTGAGGTTTAAGTCAAGGTTTTTTTCTTTGTCTATGAATATCCAATTGCTCCAGCACCATTCATGGACAACTCTATCCTTTCTCCATTGAATGGCTTTTGCATCTTTGCCAAAATCCAATTGAGCATACTTGTGTCTGTTTCTGGGTAGTCTAACCAGTTCCACTGATCTATGTGTCTATCCCTCTGCCAGCACCACATTGTGTTGATTACTGTAATATATAAGTTATTAAATTTGAGTAGAGTGATTCTACCAATTTCTTTTTCTTTAATATTCCAGTTTGCCTTTCCATATAAATTTTAGAATACTCCTGTATCTACAAAAGCAAACAAACAAAAAACTTTGCTGAGATTATGAGAGAAACTGTTTCTGACATGCAGTTTGGGAATAATTAATATCTTTACTATGGGTTTTCCAATCCATGAACACAATATGTATCTTCATATATTTATATTTTCTCTGATTTCTTTCATCTGTGTTTTGTCGATTTCACTACAAGTCCTACCTATGTTTATACCTAAGATTGTTTTGTTGTGATTGTAAATAGTATTACTTTTTTTATTTTGGTTTCCATGTGTTCATTGCTAGTATATTAAAGTATAATCGATTTTTGTCTATTATTTTGTATCCTGAGACCTTGCTGAACTCAGTTTTCTAGAAGTTATTTTGTTGATTTCTTGGAGTTTTTAAAATAATTTCTTCATTTAGTTAAAAAATGACAAAAATCTCATTTGTTTGATAAATTAATAGATTGTTTACTTTGTGCCAGATACTGTTCTAACTACTAGATATGGAGGTTACCAAGAAAATTAGGGTTTCTTGACCTCATGGAGCTTAGACTCTAAAGGAAAGATAAGGACTGCAATCAAATTGTCTTCATATCAGTGCCATCAAATAGGCATTAAGACTCTCTTATATCTGGTAGACTCAGCTGGAGAAAGCGTTCTGCCCCAGGAATCACAGTGCAAGTTACTATCCTTTCTAGGAGGCATCCTACTAACCCACCTCACACTTCCTCAGACCATCTCCCTGTAATTAAATAACAATTTCTTAACTATGGTTAAGTACTATAAAGAAAAAAACAAGAGTAACACAATAGAACAGTACATCATCTAGAACTGACTCTGTGAAGAAGTGACTTTTTTTTAATCTTCTCATCCCTTTTTTAATTTAAATTCAATTAATTAACATGTATTACTAGTTTCAGAGGTAGAGTCAGTGATTCATCATCAGTCTTCTATAAAACACTCAGTGCTCATTACATCATGTGTCCTCCTTAATGTCCATCACCCAGTTACCCCATCCACCACCCATCTGCCCTCCAGAAACCCTACTTACTTCCTTTCAGAGTCTCTTATGGTGGCACCCGGGTGTTTCAGTGGTTGAGCGTCTGCCTTTGGTCCAGGAGGTGACCCCAGGGTCCTGGGAGCAAGTCCCACATCAGGCTCCCTGCATGGAGCCTGCTTCTCCCTCTGCCCGTGTCTCTGCCTCTCTCTCTCTCTCTGTCTCTCATGAATAAATAAAATCTTTAAAAAAAATGTACATGAACATAAACGGCATAAAGTGATTATTAGTAATTATTCACAAGATGATTAATCACAGCTTTTTCTCATCTCCACAATGAGTTTGCTTTTGATTCTATAGGGAGATATAAATATCCCAGGAACGATCTCCTGCGGAAAGATAACTTCATCGTGATGCTATGCAGTTGGCCAACTCTAACCGCTGCCTTTCCTCTCCGCCTATCACAAACATATAAACACACGCATATTTTTCACCTGACAGCTATTTACTTAACCTGTCATGCTCCTATCACCTTATCTATAAAACGTAGTCACTAATGTCTACTTCCAAAGTCTGTTTTGAGAACTAAGGATAACTATGACTATATTGAGATAACTATATATAACTATATTGAGACCCAGGTAAATAGAGGGTATTTAATAAATTATAATTCCCTATCATGAGCTTTTTCCTTTTCACCCCCATCATTTAGATCCCACTTCCAGATATTTATAAAACCATTTAATTCGTGACTAGGGTCTTAGGGGAAATTTTTTTACAAAATTTTAAAGCCTATAGCAATAGCACCTATTAATTCAGTGATTAGTGGCATAAAACACTTTAACAAAGCCTCTCCATAGACTTCCGAAAATATTTTAAGATATTGAACAAGAACATGGTACTGTATGTGACTTTTAGTTGTGGTACAACATCAATTATGTAAAAGTTAGCCACTTTCAAATGAAATCTTGTAACAGCAGAAGAGCATGTTGTGTACATTTTTGTACCAATGGCAAAATCGGAAAACATGCTTTGAATATTTTAGCATAGAAAGTAAGAAATGTCTTAATTCACACATCTATCACTCAAGAAGTACTTTAAGAATACGGAGTCATGGAGCTTTTGGAAGCCACACTATCTGTATTACGCAGACTGAGAACAACTTGCACACGTTCCCTCAGACATCTTATTTTACAACACTGAATTTCTCAAGACATAATATTAACTGAGAAAAATATTATTAATGATTCAAAGTAACGTGTTAGGCTTTTAACTGACCAATATCTTTGTCCTGCCTGTTTCAGAGCAGTTACCCTACTGCTGTTACTCAGCAACCTTCAGAGATCTTCCCAATCTCCGGCCCCTCAACCCCGGTCCTACCATCCATTCCTCCTCGGTACTTTCCACAGCATTGTCGTCCGGTGGGACACCATTCCCAGGAAAAGTCCAACTTTTCTCTGTAGTTTTACTATGTGAAAAGTTCCAGAGCTATCCCCGTGCTCCGGCATGATGTCTTTTAGAGCCACCAAATGCCTTATTTCTCTTTTGCCTCCGATTTCTTCCCGCAAAACTCGGTCTCAAGCTTCCTCTGCTCAGCTCCATGTTGAACACATCCGTGTGCTCACTGTGTCAATCTGCAGAAGCAAAACAATATGCAGCAAAGTAAGCCACTTACAATCTTGTTCATTTTTTTTTTAAGATTTTATGTATTTATTCATGAGAGACACAGAGAGGGAGAGGCAGAGACCCAGGCAGGGGGAGAAGCAGGCTCCCTACAGTGACCTGATGCGGGACTCGATCCCGGGACCCCAGGATCACGCCCTGGGCCGAAGGCGGCGCTCAACCGCTGAGCCACCGGGGCTGCCCTTGTTCATTTTTCTCTTGGAAAATGTTTCTATCTATTCTCTCTCAAACCATCTCAGTTTTATCATTATCACGGGCCATTTACGCCTAATTTCACAACTATCCTGGCCAAACCTCCACGGGGCTGTAATTACGCAACGTTTTTCCCAATTTACAGGCCTCTGGTTAAAGCCTGCACTGTAAATGTTTGGAAGGTGACTTGAAAGAACAAGCGCGATGACTGCAGCTGTCCACCCGCACCGCCCTCAGGGACGCCCTCAGGGACGCCGGAGACTCCCCCAGAGACGCCTCCAGAGACGCCCGATACTCCCCAGAGACTTCTCACACCCCCAGAGACTCCCTCAGAGACTCCCTCAGAGATGCCCCGAGATTCCCTCAGAGACGCCCCCAGAGACTCCCTCAGAGACGCCCCGAGATTCCCTCAGAGACGCCCCCAGAGACACCCCCAGAGACTCCCTCGGAGACGCCCCGAGAGACTCCCTCAGAGACACCCCCAGAGACTCCCTCAGAGATGCCCCGAGATTCCCTCAGAGACGCCCCCAGAGACTCCCTCAGAGACGCCCCGAGATTCCCTCAGAGACACCCCCAGAGACTCCCTCAGAGACGCGCCCCAGACGCCGCCGCGTAGCACCGGGGGCGCCGCGGCGTCAGGGAGCCGGGTCTGCGGGTCGGTTCACCCGCCACCGCGGTCCGTCGAGTCCGCGCGCCCCCGCGCCGGGCCTGAGCAGACACACGCCGGGTCGCTAACCGCCGCCGCGCATCCCGAGCTTCCGGCGGCCGCGACCCCCGCTCACGCCCGGCGGGGACAGGAGGCGGCGGACGGCCGGGCAGGCGGGCGGGCAGGGACCGCGGGGCACCGAGACGAGGCGGCAGCCCGGAGCGCCCGCCGCCCGCCCCCGTCGCCCTCCCGCCCGGGCAGCGGCCCCGAGCCCCAGGCTCCCGCGGGCGCACCGCCGAGCGGCGTCCCCAGGCCCGCCAGGCCCGCCAGCTGCGCTCTGCCCGCCGGCACTCCGCTGGCGCCCCTCCCCCGACGCTCGTCTCCCGCTTCCGGAACCTCAGCACCTCCGGGCCCCGGAGTCAGCTGACCTGACGGACCCGCGGCGGCCGGACGACGCGAGCCCGGGGCCCCTGTGACCCCACACGCGACCCCGGTGACGCGAGCGGCGCCGCGCGACTCCATTGGAAGCGGCCGCGGCTGCGCGGTGGAGCAGAGGCGGGCGGGGCGGGGCCGAGCCGGAGGGGGCGGGGCCTAGTGTAACCTGGGCGGGGCGGGGCGGGGCGGGGCGGGGCGGGGGCGGGGACGACCCCCGGGAGGAGGAGCGCGGAGGGAGGAGGCGGCTCGGGGGCCGGGGGCCGGGGGCCGGGGGCCGGGGCCCGGGGGGCGGGGCTCTCGAGGGGCCTCCGTCCCTCACTTCCGGGTCGCGGACGTCTGGATCCGGGTCACGGGCGTCCGCCCGCCCGTCGTCTCCGGGGCTGACCCGGCCGCTTCGGTGACAGCGGCTAGTGACTCGGCGCGAGGCTGGTTGGGTCCTGCGGCCGCTGCGCTCGGCGGCCCCGTCCGCCCGCGACGCCGGGCGCGTCCTCCGCCTGCTGCGCGCTCGGGCCCGGCCGGCCGCCGCCGGGGTCCTCCGGGGCGTGCCGCCGGCGCCGATGCTGAGCGGGGCGCGGGCGCGGGGCGGCGGCGGAGCCCCAGGTCGCCGGGCCCCGCCGGCCGCTCGATGCGGCTGCTGAGGCGGCGGCGGCGGTGCTCGGTCCCGCTGCCGCCGCGCTCCGGCCGCGCCTGCGCCGCCGCCCCCGCGCCCCCGCGCCCCCGCGCCCCCGCGCCCCCGCGCCCGCGACCATGGACAAGATCCTGGAGGGGCTGGTGAGCTCCTCGCACCCGCTGCCCCTGAAGCGCGTGATCGTGCGCAGGGTGGTGGAGTCGGCCGAGCTGTGGCTGGACGGCGCGCAGTGCGAGGCCATGTTCGGGCTGACCACGCGGCTCATCCTGGAGGGCCCCGACCCGTTCCGGCGGCAGGTGGGCCGCCAGGTGCTGGAGGCCTACGCGCGCTTCCACCGGCCGGAGTTCGAGGCCTTCTTCAGCCGGCCGTTCGTGCAGGGGCTGCTGCGGCAGGGCTACGGCTCGCTGGGCGGGCAGGACGTGGCCATCCTGGACTACATCCACAACGGCCTGCGGCTGCTCAGGGGCTGCCCGTCGGTGCTGGACCTGTTCGGCCTGCTGCGGCTCGAGGTGCCGCGGCTGCTGTGCGAGCGGCCGGGGCCGCCGCTGTGCGCGCGCCTCAGCGACCTGCTGGGCGACTTCGCGCAGTGCGTCCCGCGGGGGCAGCCGGCCGTCGCCTTCTGCCAGCAGCTGGTGCGGACCATGGGCCGCTTCCAGTGCGCGTCCACGCGGGAGCGGGAGCTGCGCGAGTACGTGTCCCAGGTGACGCGGGTGGGCGGCCTGCTGCAGAGCATCTGGAAGGCCGAGCCCAGCGCGCTGCTGCCCTCCCTGCAGGAGGTCTTCGCCAGCCTCTCGGCCACAGGTAGGCGCCGTCAGGGGCTGCGCGTGGGGCTGCTGGGCCCGGGGCCTTGGGGAGCGCGGGGTTAGGGCCCTCACCCACCGCGTCGGGGCGGCCCGAGGCTCCTTGGGGAGCGCGGGGTTAGGGCCCTCACTCACCGCGTCGGGGCGGCCCGAGGCGCCTTGGGGAGCGCGGGGTTAGGGCCCTCACTCACCGCGTCGGGGCGGCCCGAGGCCTTGGGGAGCGCGGGGTTAGGGCCCTCACTCACCGCGTCGGGGCGGCCCGAGGCTCCTTGGGGAGCGCGGGGTTAGGGCCCTCACTCACCCCGTCGGGGCGGCCCGAGGCCTTGGGGAGCGCGGGGTTAGGGCCCTCACCTCGTCGGGCGGCCCGAGGCCTTGGGGAGCGCGGGGTTAGGGCCCTCACCCCGTCGGGGCGGCCTGAGGCCTTGGGGAGCGCGGGGTTAGGGCCCTCACCCACCGCGTCGGGGCGGCCCGAGGCTCCTTGGGGAGCGCGGGGTTAGGGCCCTCACTCACCGCGTCGGGGCGGCCCGAGGCCTTGGGGAGCCCGGGGTTAGGGCCCTCACTCACCCCGTCGGGGCGGCCCGAGGCTCCTTGGGGAGCGCGGGGTTAGGGCCCTCACTCACCGCGTCGGGGCGGCCCGAGGCTCCTTGGGGAGCGCGGGGTTAGGGCCCTCACTCACCCTGTCGGGGCGGCCCGAGGCCTTGGGGAGCGCGGGGTTAGGGCCCTCACCTCGTCGGGCGGCCCGAGGCCTTGGGGAGCGCGGGGTTAGGGCCCTCACCCCGTCGGGGCGGCCCGAGGCCTTGGGGAGCGCGGGGTTAGGGCCCTCACTCACCGCGTCGGGGCGGCCCGAGGCCTTGGGGAGCGCGGGGTTAGGGCCCTCACTCACCGCGTCGGGGCGGCCCGAGGCGCCTTGGGGAGCGCGGGGTTAGGGCCCTCACTCACCGCGTCGGGGCGGCCCGAGGCTCCTTGGGGAGCGCGGGGTTAGGGCCCTCACTCACCGCGTCGGGGCGGCCCGAGGCTCCTTGGGGAGCGCGGGGTTAGGGCCCTCACTCACCGCGTCGGGGCGGCCCGAGGCGCCTTGGGGAGCGCGGGGTTAGGGCCCTCACTCACCGCGTCGGGGCGGCCCGAGGCCTTGGGGAGCGCGGGGTTAGGGCCCTCACTCACCGCGTCGGGGCGGCCCGAGGCGCCTTGGGGAGCGCGGGGTTAGGGCCCTCACTCACCGCGTCGGGGCGGCTGGAGGCGCCTTGGGGAGCGCGGGGTTAGGGCCCTCACTCACCGCGTCGGGGCGGCCCGAGGCGCCTTGGGGAGCGCGGGGTTAGGGCCCTCACTCACCGCGTCGGGGCGGCCCGAGGCTCCTTGGGGAGCGCGGGGTTAGGGCCCTCACTCACCCCGTCGGGGCGGCCCGAGGCCTTGGGGAGCGCGGGGTTAGGGCCCTCACCTCGTCGGGCGGCCCGAGGCGCCTTGGGGAGCCCGGGGTTAGGGCCCTCACTCACCGCGTCGGGGCGGCCCGAGGCCTTGGGGAGCGCGGGGTTAGGGCCCTCACCCCGTCGGCTGTGCTGAAGCGCCTTGGGGAGCTCCGATGTTGGGGCCGTCACCCCGTCTGGGTGGCCCGAGGCCTTGGGGAGCACGGTCGTTAGCTCCCTCACCCCGTCGAGGCGGCCTGAGGCCTTGGGGAGCACGGATGTTAGCACCTTCACCCCGTCGGCTGCCCTGAAGCTCCTTAGGGAGCACGGATGTTAGGGCCCTCACCCCTTCGGGGCGGCCCGGGGCGCCTTGGGGAGCGCGGAGTTAGGGCCCTCACCCCGTCGAGGCGGCCCGAGGCCTTGGGGAGCACGGATGTTAGCGCCCTCACCCCGTGGGCCACCCTGAAGCACCTTAGGGAGCACGGATGTTAGCACCCTCACCCCGTCGGGCGCCCCGTGCACCGTAGGGAGCACGGATGTTAGCACCCTCACCCCGTCGCGGCCCGCAGCCGCGAGCTCCGGCAGCAGTAAGCGGCTTGGTGCCGTGCAGCGGAGCGCGTAGGCCCCGAGCACCCTGGCCGCCCATCCGCCCTCCGCCGCGGGGGGGGGGGGGCGGGGTGCGGGGGGGACACGGGCGGGGGTGACGGGGCGGTGACGGCTGGGGTACGACCTCGCCCGGCGGCCGCCCCTCGGGATGTGCGGCGGACTCCGACCTGCACTGCGGTGCCTGCTGGACCCCGAGCTGGGGGCTGGAGGCGTGGGCTGGAGGCGGGGAAACCCAGAGCTGCGCCTGCCCCGCCTGGTGACCGTTGTCCGCGGCTGTTTGCGGCAACATCTGCGAAGGCGGGTCCTGACCTTGGGAGCCAGAAGTAGGGCTGGGGCAACACCCAGTGTGTAGGAAGATCCACCAGCCGTGTGTCCTCACATCTGACGGGGTTTTAAATTGTGATTTTTCTTGTGTTCCCTGTGTTGCTCGAACTGTTAGATTCCCCCAGAACTTTTTCAGCGGTAGCAGTGAAGGTGCTTGCCTTGAATTTGCTTGATGATTATATAGTTTAAGAAAAGTTCCCTCAAAATTCACCTTAATTTCTACTTCTTTCAGAGATGTTTGAGGGAGCCTTAGAGCAATGTGCTGCTACTGTAATTACTAGTCATCAGTTACTATGGAAGGTCTGAAGTGGGGATTTATAGGGTACCTTGAATGTGCTTTCTGACTGCTGACTTACAAATGAGTATTTTAACACAACGGTGACTGAATATTGAATAATGCAAGAAAATAAAGTCGTTTATGGACTAAATACAGTGACAGTGAACAACAGCTTTTATATTCCAGCAGTGTTCTCTGTAATGAGCCATCATTGCTACCCACCCTTCAACTCATTTCTGCAATTTAACAGTTGCTTGTATGTTAGAGTCTACCCAACTGTTGCTGCAAGTACTTTTTTTTTTCTTTTTGTAAATTATTGTTTCTTTCTAAATAATTCACTTGAACTTTCTTGCCATATTCCTTTTTGTTTTTAATTAAAAAAACAGATACATCATTTGAACCTTCTGTAGCACTGGCAAGCCTCGTGCAGCATATTCCTCTTCAGATGATTACGGTTCTCATCAGGAGCCTAACTACGGATCCAAATGTAAAAGATGCAAGCATGACCCAAGCTCTTTGCAGGTACTTTTTCATGACCCTATAGATGGTTTTGTAGATTTGGGAGGAGGAGCTATGTTGCAGTATTTTGTGGGTAATGAAAAATTTAGTTGTTTAAAACTGAAATCATAGAATCAAATACATATTCTCCAAATTAATGGAAATGAATTATTTGCCTTACTATACAGGTTTGACAGACATCCTAGTAATTCAAAGTCCATTTTTAGTTCAGGTTTTTTTATTCAAAAAATATACATACGTATACCCTTACTGTACAGTAAGGAGTTGGTTGGATTATCAATATATTTAATTTCCTTAGTCATTATGGTTTCTTGCAACTTTTCTTCTGTCGAGGTTTTTTGTTTTTTTTTTTTTTTTAAGCTAAGTACATACTTTTACTTTCTCTTTCAACCAGAATCCCTGGATAATAAATTCTGCCTTTGTCTGTTTAAAATATGCTTTTTCTTCCTTGTTTTTCAGTAGATGATTTGGTAAGATACAGAATTCTAATTTGGTAGTCATTTTCTCTTAACATTTTGAAAATAATACCGCATTGCCTTCTGGCATTTATCGTTCCTGATATAGAGTCTGCTGTCAATCCAACTGTCATTACTTTGGGAGTAGTTAGGCTTTTCTGGTAATATTTATGTCTCTCCTTGATGTTTTTCAGTTGATTGTTATGTTTCTGGGCATAAACTTAGTATTATTTATCATTCTCAGCATTTTCATGGTTTTTTTTTTTTTTTAATTCATTTGTTCATTTATTCGAAATCTATTTACGGGGGAACCCTGGGTGACTCAGTGGTTTAGCGCCTGCCTTTGGCCCAGGGTGTGACACCGGAGTCCCGAGATCGAGTCCCACATCGGGCTCCCTGCATGGGGCCTGCTTCTCCCTCTGCCGGTGTCTCTGCCTATCTCATGAATAAATAAAATCTTTAAAATAAATAAACAAACAAACAATGAAAACTTTACATAAAGACTTGGAAATTTAACCACATAAGAATTGATAAAATGATAAGAATACAGGGAAAAGGAAAAATAAAACGATAGGCTATATGAAGAAAATCCTAACAACATGATGTCACAGGATTTCTAGAATTTTAGAACTATGAATACAAAGATATCAAGAAGATGAAAACAAAAATACAGATCACTAAATACGACAAGGAGGTCACCATACATTGAAAAGTAACAGAGATAGAGGCCATACAGCAGGAACAGCATTTATATAGATTTTTCTCTGATATATAAAGCATGTTCACATATCCGTGGAAGTCAGAATGAGCAAAAAGAAATTGAAAGTAATAGTTAGAGCTAAATTGATTCAGTAAATTAAGAGCACAAGGAAAAAAGGAAAGCTAGAAGGCTCTTTTTAAACACTAGACAAAACAGAGGAAAAGGTGAAAAAAATCCAAGTCAGGCAGAGAGAGACGCAGGCTCCATGCAGGGAGCCCGACGTGGGACTCGATCCTGGAACCCCGGGGTCACGCCCTGAGCCGAAGACAGATGCTCAACCACTGAGCCACCCAGGTGTCCCTGTTCATTTACTTTTAATTTTAAGAAACACTCATATCAGGGCACCTGGGTGGTTGAGCCTCCAGCTCAGGTGTGATCTCAGGGTTGTGAGTTCAAGCCCCACATTGGGCTCCATTCTGGGTGTGGAGTCAAGGAAGGAAGGAAGGAAGGAAGGAAGGAAGGAGAGAAAAAGACAGAAAGAAAGAAAAAAGAAAGGAAGAAAAGGAAGAGAGAGAGAGAAAGAAAGAGAGAAAGGAAAGAAGAAAGAAAGAAAGAAAGAAAGAAAGAAAGAAAGAAAGAAAGAAAGAAAGAAAGAAAGAAAGAAAGACCCATAGTTTAGCTGGAGTATTTATTCTTATATTGCAAATGTAATCAAACAGGATAATGTTTGTTTTTATCATACTCCCACCTTCTACTTCACCATAATATATATGTCCTTACACATAGCACTTACATGCTTGAACTGTTATTTTTTGTAATTCAAAAAATGCAAATACCATATCAGCAACAGGTAAGTAACATTAAAGTATGAAATTGGCCAGATGCAACTGAAATAACAAGGAATGGGGTACACAAGCACCTTCTAAAAGAGAAAACTGATCCTTAACTCCAGTTTTCTTCTTGCCACAAAGAAATTTGAATTCAGTATTGTTTCTTTTTTCAAAAGAAGCCTATAATCCAGTTTTTTATGTAAAATTTTCCAATTTGTAAAATAGTGGAACAAGGTAAACTTGAGGCTAGATCTAGTCATGAAGGTACCATCTAAAAGTGAAAATTGGTTCTATTCTCTACAAGTTAAGAATAAATCTATTATTTTGTCTCCTTTATAATATTGCCAATTTTAATGTTAAGATTTTCAAGTTGCATTCTGTTTTTTTTAGTTCTAGAAAGAAATGGTTTCATTAACTCAACAAATTTGAACTCCTTCTCAGTGCCAAGCCCTGTGCGAAGTACTGGGGATCCAAAGATTAAAGATTAAAAAGAAAAAAAAAAAAAAAGATCATTGCTCTTAAGCTCCTGGTCTAATAGAGGAAAGAAAATTTCAAAGTGCATAAATTATAACTAGTTAAATGTCTTTTAAATAGTAAGAAATTAATACAATATATCAAGGTTAAGTTCTGTGAAATTCACGTAGTGACCAATACATGGTGGACAATATTAAGGTAGTTAACTATAAAATAACTCATCTTACAATGCCTGTGCCTGAAAGGATTTGGATATGTGCAAGTTAAATCAAATTGAAGCAGAACTGGAATATAATTAAAGAGAAGCCAAAAGCATAACATTTATATGCCAGCAGAGCTTAGTGCAAACACCAGTACTGCTGTTTATTGTGTAACTGTTGACAAATTTCCTAACTTTTCTTACCAATTTGAAAGCAGAAATTGTAACTACTATTATGTTTTCAGCATTTAACGAAGTAGTTGTTATATAATGGGCACTCAAATATTTGTCGAGTGAACACTTCTAAGGCATGTTACTTCTGACTTAAAGTTTTTTTAGGATGATCAGGAGATTCAGTACATTTGGGATAAGGTAAAGGGTAAAGGCTTATGAGATGGGAAGCTAGAAATGGGGAGGAGAGGAAAAAGCTGATGGGTGATTAGGTATCATGAAGAAACATAGCCAAGTGGAATTTTCTACTCTGCTCTTAGACCTACAGCCCTGTGTTCTACAGGGTATAGTTTCTTTCTACCCTGGTGGTATCATTCCCCTAGGAGCAGAGCCCACAGAGCCAAGGAGATGTGCTCACATATACTCCTTCTCTGAACCACATCTTTTTTTGTATCCATATTTGTACTCAAAAAATATGCAGCATTGGGACGCCTAGGTGGCTCAGCGGTTGGGCACCTGCCCCTGGCTCGGCGTGATCCGGGGTCTCGGGATCAAGTCCCATGTTGGGCTCCCTGCATGGAGCCTGCTTCTCCCTCTGCCTGTGTCTCTGCCTTTCTCTCTCTGTGTCTCTCATGAATAAATAAATAAAATAAAATCTTTTAAAAAAAAATGCAGAATGTCCTAACATGATTTTTTTTTTTTAAACAAGAACAATTTTTAAAAGTCTTACTGGCACATTTTTTTTCCTTTAATTGAATAGTATCTCAGCTCTTTCTGTGTTAGATCCGCACAGATAGATTCATTAAAGATCCAACTCCTTCTTTAAAATTCTACATAATGTTCCATAGTATATTTAGCCCTTATTTTTTTTTTAAAGACTTCATTTATTTATTCATGAGAGACACAGAGAGAGGCACAGACATAGTGAGAGCAAGCTCCCCATGGGGAGCCTGATGGGGAGCTCAGTCTCAGGACCCCAGGATCACAACCTGAGCCAAAGGGAGATGCTCAACCACTGAGCCACTCAGATGTCCCTGGGCGTTCCCTTATCGATAGGTATTTAGATTGTTTGCATTTTTCCAAATCCTAAAGATAGTGCTACAGTGAACTTATTATTCATACACAAATGCAAGTGTCTCTCTACTCCACATATGTATAGTGTCTACAAACTTTTATGAAAATCAGCTTAAGAACAGTTGGAATATGTGGAACAGCTGTCAGAGACTATTTTGATGACTTATAACCGAAATTGTTTGAAGAAGGCACCCAGAAAAACAAGAAGGGAAATAAAATATGTGTGGGGAACACTAGGAACATACAGATAACTTGTAGTTAACATGCATTTGGACTTTGAGCCACTTTTAGTATCTGATGGAACATGTAATCTTAAGAGCAAAAGCTTTAAAAAAGATAACACTCCAGTGTTAATATAGTTATAATCATTGTGAAAATAACTATATCAGTTTTGAAGTCAGTTTTTTTAACATGTTAGTTGCGCTTTTGGTCATATGTTTTTGTACTTAGTATTTATGATTGACGTTTTCTCCAATTATCTATTTATTGTCACATTGATATTTGGTAGAAAAGAGGTATTCATAATGAGTATTTCCAATGTCCTATATTAACTCATGTAGTCTTCAAATCAGCCATGTAAAATAAACATGTTTATTTATAATCTACAGATGAGGATATTGAGACACAGAGGTTAAGTAACTTACATAGGTATTAGGGACCCCAACTAAAAAATGGTAAGTTGGGATTTTGAAACCAGATCACTCTTGATTTTAAAACCTTTTTCCCCCCACTACTATTTTCTTATGTAATCCCCAAACTTGGATTATTGGATCAAGTAATACGAACATTTGACCCAAATACTTTCCAAAAGAGTTGTACCACTCTTCATTGTGATTGATATTTGACATTGAGGACAGGCTCCATCAGACCTCATATTACTTTGTTTTTATTTCTATTAAACTGTGTTGATACTCAGAAGAACACTCACTAATTCAATATGAGGCCGTTTAGAGTATTTATAAATCAAGTGCCCCTTGATCTATTTAAAGCATCCTTTTTTGTCTTGGTGTAGTAGGATTTTGAAAGGGAGAAAAGACCTATTTCACAATTCAAAATACAGTCTTTTTTAACAGTGCATTTCATATTTAGACTGCAGTCACCATTTTGTTTCTAATAGCTATATTTGAACTGCTCTTTTTAGAGTAAATTTGCCTAATGAATTCTAAATACCACTATGTAGCATCAAATTAAAACCGCATTTATGGGGAATGACAACTTTATCAGAAATTCTGTTTCTTGTAATATCTTATGTAAGAAAGTATCGGCTTCCAAGATTGGAAACTCTTTGAGGACAAGCATCTGTTATGCTCAGTTCTGCATCTTGAACAGGACTTTTCCTCAAGCAAGCTCAGTAAAGATGGAGTCACAGAGAGTCGCTCTCTACTATAACTCTTGTTATTCCCCACTAAAAAATGTTGAAAATATTTTCAAGACTGATAGTTTTGGTTTTCAATTTTCAGAATGATTGACTGGCTCTCCTGGCCCTTGGCTCAGCATGTGGATACGTGGGTGATTGCACTCCTAAAAGGACTGGCAGCTGTCCAGAAGTTTACTATTTTGATAGATGTTACTTTACTGAAAATAGAACTGGTAAGTGGGAGTATAAAAATCTCTTAGAATGAATGGTCTTAATCTTTTTATCTTTGGGTAGTCCCCTAATAAAGCATTTAATGTTGAATATATTCTTGGTTTTGAATAATAATTTTAAAATAGAATTTTAAAATGGTATTTAGTGTCGGTAATTAAAATAATTTTGCTATTTTTTAGTATCTGATATGAAAACATATCCCTCCCATTACCTCTTAAATCCAACTAATCAAGGTTTTACCACCATTTTTCTACCAAAACTGTCTTTGACACCAGAGCTTTCCAGTGTTGCTGAACTCCAGAGTTATTTCGCAGGCCTCCTCTCATTTGACCTATCAGCATTTGACACAGTTGATCAATGCCTCTTGAAACACTTGCCTCACTTACTTTTTGTCCTACTTCTCTTGGTTTTTGTCCTAGTTCCCTGGCACCTTAGTCTCTCTTAGTGGATCTTTCTAACTTTAGAGAGCTTTAGAGTTTCATTTTTGAGCCATTTTCTACTCAAGCCATACTCACAGCATATGTGTCCACTTCTTTAAATAAGTTTCTAAGTTAATGACTGCCAGGTATATATTTCTTATTCATTATTTGCCCATGAACTCCATATTCTGTTCTCTTAGATATCTGCCAGGCTTACTTTTATTTCCTTCCATTTTTTTATAGTCAGATGTCACCTTTTATATGACATGTTTTTTGAATACCCTAATTAATAGCAGACCCCTTTGCTACTCAGCAGCCCCTTTTCTTTGTACCCTGTTTTCATAGTACTTCTCTCCATATTGCTTTTTATTGTCTACCCACCCTGGAGACATTAAGCCCTATCAATTCAGAGATTTTTTTTTTTTAATCCGCTTCTATCCTCTGCCCAGAACAATGCCAAGCAATAGTAGGTTCTCAATCAGTGTTAAGTGAATCAAATGAAGTGTGGGCCAACGAACAATCACTTTGTAAGCAAGGTTTGATGGGTTTTTATTTGATAAAGGGGTTTTGAGAGTTGTTTAGGCCACTTGATCTCTCATGTTGTTATTCCCCAACTTTCTTTCCCCAAGTTTAATAACATGTTATGATAAAACTTTTCAGTAAGTTAGTCACATAATCCGTGACTTCAGATAGTCACATAATATTTTTGGTCCAAGGAAAGTAATCACTGATTGGATTTATGTTTCCCCTACAAACTCTTAAGGTGGATGTCTTGTCTTTTTTGAAGGTTTTTAATCGACTTTGGTTTCCTCTTGTGAGACCTGGTGCTCTTGCAGTTCTTTCTCACATGCTGCTCAGTTTTCAGCATTCTCCAGAGGCGTTTCATCTGGTAAGTTAGGGCACAAGCTTTCTACCCTGAAAACCTTTGTGTTAAAATTTTAGTTTAATATGGAGTCACATTTGTATATAGTGAAAAGAGTTTAGGTTAGTCCTGAATCTCTTTTCTTATAACTTTATGATTTCTTAGAAAACTGAGGTGATAGGGTTTCCCTCCAAAGAGTATATTTTCAGAATATTTTGAGTCTCCCCAAAACTGTTCCGATTGCAACCACTCAGCAATTGAAAGTTACTGCTCTGCATGAGAGATGTCACATGTTAGCGTCACTGATGGTTATCTGTTGCACATGTGAACAATGTAGAAGAAAAATGCTTTAGAATTCAGAAACGTGGAAATAGCAAGTAGTTTTATAGCCCCAGTATTAATGCTTCATCTGTCCCAACTCATAGCCTACAAATCCTGTTGATTCCACCTTTATTTTTTTTATTCCACCTTTAAAATATATCCAGAACACTACCACTTTTAATGAGCTACATCACTGATTTTGATTTGATTTGATTTCAGTTCTTTTGATTATCATTCATTACAAGCAGAAATGACAAAATGTTATTTTGAGAATCTGCCCATTTATCTATCTCGTGCATCACAGGAAAGCAGTTCTTTATGTCATTATTTGCTTCCTCCAGGGTCTGATCCTCAGTTTTACAGGACTAGAACCTCATTTTTGAGTACACCCACGATATAAATATCTTGGGAATGCTGACCCCATACAAGCAAATTCAAGGGAGATTGATGAAGAAGGGCTGAATTCTAGTTGTTGATTATTAGCCAGAAATATAACTAGTTTCAAAAACCATATACATACGTAGGCTCCTCAGTGCCTCACTGCCACTGAAGGAAAGTCTGCAGTCTTTGTAGAAAGTAATCCTTGTCAACAAGTAATTATATATTGTCACTTAGAATGGAGTATTCTGAGAATTTCTACCGTTAATTGTGTAATTGGTGATCTTGACCATTAACCAGTAATATCTGTTACACAGAACTCAAAACTTGAGCTGAGATAGCACGTGTAGCAGCCACGTCTAATGAGGTAAATAAAGAACATCAGTTATTTGTGTCTGTCTTCAGGCACAATCATGTATAGGCCATTTGAGAAAAGGTTTATAATCAGAATTTCTAGGAAGGAGATTCTCTAATATAACTTACTCATCCATTCTAATGTTTGTTGTTCTTCATACTGAGGACATTTCTTAATCTCTGATTAGTCATTTGTCTGATTAGAGTCATTTACTCTAAATCTCTTTCTTTGCTCACAGTTTTTTAAAAGAATATATCTCCATATGTTATATTGTTTTTTTTCTGAAAAAGTTAAAATAAAAATGGTTGACTTTGAAATATTTTATCTTATTGAAATATTGATATGAAATCATTTATTTAAGGATTAGTTAGATCTGAAATTGAAAATTGTCATCTGGTTTAGTAAATTCTAAAAACTAAAATCTAATCATTGCCTACCTACTATGCATAGCCTGACTGGCTACTCAACTAAATGAACGTGGGCATCTAGTACTGCCCTGGTCACGCGGTAGTTAAGTCAACAATAACTCTCACTCAGTGAAGGACTCAGGCTTAGACGTTGTTAAGTATGAGCAGTATCTGGAATCACCAACATCGTTATTCATTATATGCTTACAGCATTTTAGAGCAAACCAAGATTGATGTTACAGTGAGTGTTATTATAGACAAAATCGCTTTTCATATGCTTTTTATAAGTGGAAAGAAATTAACCAAAGGAAAAATATCAAAGTTTCTGATAAGTTATACACATTTTCTCCAAAAGTAACTTAAGTTTAATGAATATTACAGGAATGTCTACAAATATTTAGATTTGCTTTTTCAAAAAAAAAAAAAGAAAAAGAAACTTTCAAACATTTAGAAGGTAATTATAGCCTGCTTGGACATAATATCTATATATCCGTGAAGAACTTAGTGTCATTTCTATGTCAGTGTTAATTTTGACCACATGAGATACAGTACTAGACAACTCTATTATTACCTAATGCAAAGACCAAATCTATGCTAGGGAAGCTTTTGGAAGATTTTGAATTGTCAATTAAGTAATCATTTTTAAAAATTATTTTCTCTTCTCTTCCATTTCTCTTTTCACCTCTGAAGAAACAAAATAACTTTGCATTTCTGATTATTTTAGCAAGAAGGGTATCTGGTAAATATGGCTTTATGGGCAAAATTATAATTCAGCTTTGCTTAGAAATGAAAAGATGAAAGCAGTAGGGTGAACTGATTAGGAACTGATGGTTTCATGATCAAATTAATACCTTTGATGGAGGTAAGATTAAAGAAGGTAGTGCAGAAGCTAAAATGTGACTTTAAGGCCTGAAGCATAGAATCAGAGCAAAATAGCAGTGTTAATTTAAGAATATGATTGTTCTTTCTAGGAGGAAGGAAAGGGAGTTGATTGTGATGTTTCTATAATTGTTGTTATTGCCATTTGGTGATAAGACCATAGAGTAATAACTTCATTTTTATCACAAGTTAGCAACCAAAAATAAATGCTCTACAAATAGAACATAATATTATATTGCAGGCCTTTTACATATGAAGTATAAATGTATATTATTAGATTATGATTAATGGTTAGTGGGAACAAGGATACCACTGTATTAATGGCATGAACCAATTCTGCAAAACAGAGTTTATCTTGTTAATCTCTTGAATTTGTGATGACTCTGCATTGACTTTATTCTAATTTTTTTTTAAAGATTTTATTTATTTATTCATGAGAGACAGAGAGAGAGGCAGAGACACAGGCAGAGGGAGAAGCAGGCTCACTGCGGGGAGCCCGATGTAGGACTCAATCCCAGGACCCTGGGATCACGACCTAAGCCAAAACACTCAACTACTGAGCCCACCCAGACGTCCCAACTTTAATCTAATTTTATAATGAAGGGACACTGTTGTGCTTATTATCAATCCTAAGTTTTCTGCATGATTTTGAACAATGAGCATTTTAGATTTCCCTTTTATTTTTAACTCCAGTTTCTTAAAAATAATAGAAATTTCTGATTCCCTTTGTTTTTAGAACCATCTCTCTTTGGAGGTGGGGAATTGGAATCATTAGTAAGGATAACCACATAAGACGTAAGACATCTTCCCTATAATTATCAAAAAGAACATGATCCTATAGTCTGAGCTGTAATTTTAGTTACTTTAGTTACTTTCTTGAAGTGGACTTTAATGTGCAAAGTATGTAGTTTCTTTTCAAGTGAAAAATCTAAAACTCACACTAGATGGAGCTCTTAAGCTAAATCTAGGTTTATCTTTTTAAAAGTTTGTTCCTGTTGAACAATCTGATATAATAGTCCTAACATTTTTCAACTTAAATCATTTTTTTAGAGTGGCAGAAATGACTAAGAGTTCTATTTTGCATCTTAGTTTGTGTTTTAGATGGAGTGTAAGGATGAGGAGAGAGGAGGAATTAAAATTTTATATGACATTGAAATCGATTTACTATGATGTCCTAGAAATTTTAACTCCTCTAACTCTTTTAGAAAAAGACTGTGACTAAACATACAGAAAGGTACTTGCTGATCATGTAACATTTGCATTCCATTTGTAGGCTAGAGAATTTGTTGCCAATTTGTATACATTGAGAAATGTTTGTCTTTTTTCTCTTCAGATTGTTCCTCACGTAGTTAATTTGGTTCACTCCTTCAAAAGTGATGGTCTGCCTTCCAGTACAGCCTTCTTAGTGCAGTTAACAGAATTGATACACTGTATGATGTATCATTATTCTGGATTTCCAGACCTCTATGAACCTATTTTGGAAGCAATAAAGGTATGATGATAGTTGGACCAGTATCTGTACAGCCACAGACCATGATGTGAGGAATGTAATGAAACATTTCTATACCTAGGTGTTCAATTTACTATTCTATGCTAATATGCTTGTTATTTGAAAAATTTAATTGGAATCATGATTCATTAATGTTTAGGGAGTAATCTCTTACTTGCGATAACCTAAATTATTAACCATATTTCTTAAGTTCTACAGTGCCATAAGTTATAAGGCATATCTTCAGATTTATAACAGCTTGTGGGGAAATATGTTTAAAAAGAAATGCTACATTAAGTGAATACATACATCACCATCGTATCCCAGTATCAGAAGTGTTAAAATACTTAGGAACATCTTAGAATCAAGAAAAGGCAGTTTAATAAAATACTTGACTTTGTTTCCTTACCGGTTTCTATTCCATTTTTGCTATAGACTGTTCATGAATTTCCATATTTTGTAGAATCTTGAGTTCTTTGTGAACTTACCCTGTTTTTCAACTTTATATAGATATTAGATCTAAGAAGCACTTGGTTCTGTTTGTCTCAAAGGATGGATCACAACATACACACTTTTCTCTTAAACTTACTGAGTAATCAAGGTGTCAGAAAAGAATTGGAGAATTTGCGTCAGGCAAACCTAATCAGAAGTTATTAGAAATCAGTTCTATTAATAGTGTTCCTTTTTGAGATCTGAAAAAGTCTCATTATCTTTATTACTTCTTATGTATCTGAAATGAATACAGAGCTTATTCTTTTTTCTATATAGCTAGCTAAATTAAACTGATTTTGGTCAAACCCAAAACACAAGACTGTTGAGCAATTAATGTATACCACTAGTATGACACTTTGACACTTCAGAAGTGAATGGTTTTATGTATAGGAGCTTTTTATCATGGATTTAATAGTAATGTTAATCTCTTCCTACAGTCCATAGATGAAACTTCTTGCTGTTAATTGCCATTTTTCAGTGCTTTACATCCTGAGAATTCTGGTAATGAAATAGGCTCAGAATAAGCAGGGTTCTCACTCTCAATCCAAGGGCAACACTCTTCTATTAGTTGTCAACAACAGCAAGAAAAATAAGAGATTAAAATTCCTTCAGAAAATGCTTTTCTAAGGTCTAAGTACCAGATGGTAATAGCAGTCTAAAAAAAAGGCTTAACAATGTTACTTTCATTATTCTCCATTCATGCTTGAAATCACTTAGATTTAAAATTGTATTTCAAATGTCACAGAGCAGATAAAAGAATCTGTGTCTTCTAATAATTTTCTATATTGTTAAACACAAGATTGAGTTTTATTTTTCGAAGTTAAAGCTATTTTTGTACTTAGGTGCTTTCATTTTTCATCCTCTGATTACTTTGAACTTTTTTTTTCTAAGGGTTAATGTTGAGTAAATATTAGTAGTGAATGAAGAGGAAATTTTTTTACTTTCACTAGAAAATTTGAAAGCAAATTGTTTAAGTTAATCAATTGTGTGATAATTTAAGTCCTTATTCTACTGCCTTTGAGTAACTGCACTGCAGTACACTCTCTGATCTCAAAGATTTATTTCGAAACATTTTACTGGCAAATTGGAAACAAATAGCTCAAATGTGACTTGAATTCCTGGTTCTTGAATATTTCTCAACTTGATAAACTCTACTTTTAGGGCATATTTATTTTTTAGGAGATAATTAATTTTGCCATGTAATATAATGTAACTTTTCTGATGACTGGTCAAGTACTAGGGGTGATTCCAAAACTTAAGTAGAAGAAAAGAAAGGTTAAATGTCAGTGGAGGAATCTTCTTTATGGTGTTAATTTAATTTAAAAAATAGTTTATATTTTTAACCTATTTCTCCTCTTGATGATGTACAGGATTTCCCTAAGCCCAGTGAAGAGAAGATTAAATTGATTCTCAATCAAAGTGCCTGGACTTCTCAATCCAATTCTTTGGCCTCTTGCTTGTCTAGACTTTCTGGAAAATCTGAAACGGGGAAAACTGGTCTTATTAATCTAGGAAATACATGTTATATGAACAGTGTTATACAAGCATTATTTATGGCTACAGAGTAAGTTTAAATTTGAACCTTTTTTTTAACTATAGAGATTGATGCATACTGATGAAATATAACCTGGTGAGATTGTCTTCACATTAATTTTTTATTAATGTAGAAATAATATTTTTATATAATTGTTATTCAGAAATAAAGGTGCTTAGGAACTGTTAAGATGTTAACTTCTATAAATTCTACTTATATATTGTATATATAACATATGTATAATATATATACATTGCATTGAGAATCTTTTTTAATTATTCTGGCTTGATATTTATTAAAAAGTGAACTTATTTGAAAGAATTTAAGTGTCCTCAAGTACTAATTTATTATTTTATAAGAGTCTGTTTTTTTTTTCCCTATATATCTTTTAAGGGAGTTATGTTTAGTTTTTTCTACTTGTAGATATTTTACTGTTTATCAGATTGAGAACTTTGTTACTTTTACAGAAGCTTAAGCTCTATTTCCCACCACCAAGTTGACAGATACTGAACAAATATATAAACATATATATTTTTTTGTCCTCTTACATATTTACTTTCAAATTCATTTTCTTTTGCAACTTAGCAAATATAAACTCAGAGGTTGTTAGCTATGTGAGTGTTGTCTGTAAAAGTACAAAATAATGATAAAGTTTTTCTAAAGGTAGAAACATTTTCGGATTTTTCTCTTCAATGCCAATAGAGTATTTATAGAACTTGACCAAAAATCATTACAAATTGAATTCCGTGCCTTTGTAAGTTTTTATGCCTACTTAGAGGAATCATAAACTAAAAGATGAAGAGTTAGACTTATTTTATATTCTGGCCCCAGAATATGCTATCAACACTAAGGTGTTTTTTTTGTTTGGCTTAGTGGCTTTTTGTTTGTTTATATTTGAGATTTTTTTTTTTAAGGTTGTTTTTTACCACCTTTTTTTTTTTTTTTTTTTTTAAGGTTTTATCCATCCACTCATGAGAGAGAAAGAGAGGCAGAGACACAGGCCGAGGGAGAAGCAGGCTCCATGCAGGGAGCCCGACGTGGGACTCAATCCTGGTTCTCCAGGATCATGTCCTGGGCCAAAGGCAGTGCTAAACCACTGAGCCACCCAGGCTGCCCCTATATTTGAGATTTTTAATTTTTTTTAAATGTGTACACTTAGATACAAGTAATACTAAGCATGAAACTAAATTCAAATCTATATCTCACCACCAGAGGTCATCTAGTTCAGCTGTCTCATTTTACAGATGATAGTGAAAGAAGAGACCCAAAGCTATTGTAACTAGCAACAGCAATTCAAAGAACCATCTTATTGATTAAGCCAATGATACTATCTAAGAATAGGCACATAGCGTATTTTATTTCTTTGGTAATATGCAAATTCTTTGTGGTTTTAAAAAAATAAATTTAGAAGTATATAAAATAAAAACTCAGACATAAAATTGTTTTTTTAATCAGACATTTCCATTCCTAAAAGTAACTTGTTAACAGTTTTGTGTGCATTATTTCAGATCATTCCTTTATAGTTATAAGATTTTATCTAAGGACGCCTGGGTGGCTCAGTACTTGAGCGTCTGACTGCCTTTGGCTCAGGTCGTGATCCCAGGGTCCCGGGATTGAGTCCCACATCGGGCTCCCTGTGGGGAGCCTGCTTCCCCTTCTGTGTCTTTGCTTCTCTGTGTCTCTCATGAATAAATAAATAAAATCTTTAAAACAATAAAATGAAGTACTTGTATATGTATGTACTTGTATATGTATGTACATGTATACAAAAATCACTATGCTTTTTTTCAGTTTCAGGAGACAAGTATTATCTTTAAATCTAAATGGGTGCAATTCATTAATGAAAAAATTACAGCATCTCTTTGCCTTTTTGGCTCATACACAGGTGAGTGAATGGTATGTACATGTTAACTTCATGGACACTACTGTTTAAACTTCACATTATACCAAACTTGGTGAATCTGTTTTAAATAATTATATTTGACACAGTACAACAGATTCACTTAGATATACTAAAGAGATCCTGCCTAAGATCAGGATATGTTCTAAGTTTTTATTTCTTCCTCCTGTTTTCCATTCTTGTAGATGAACATTATGCTAACCGTTCTAATTATAGATGAAATCTGACTTTCTATCCAATAAATAAGCTTCTTCATGAAGAAGTCTTTAATAGTTTATAGATATGAAATTGATAGATTTTTCACAGTAATAAATAATTTTGTGGCACATTGGCTTCTTTTTTTCCTGTTTCTAATATAAACACCCTCTCTTTATGACAAAAATTTTAAGCTCTAGAATTAATGGATAAACAACTTTATATTTTCTAGGGCTTAAAATTTTATGATGATCTTTTATGTCCATAAATTCATCCAAGGAAATGAATTTCTGCTACTGGCAAGAAAGTCACACATAGTAAACACTCATTCAGGAGACATTTATTGAGAAACACAATATGGAGTCTGATAAGTATTCAAAGAGGAGAGGAATCCTTAATGCTCAAGGAACTCTAAGTTTTGAGCAATACATATGAATAATATATATATCATTTATAGATAAAATATATTGTTTTCGGGTTTTCTGATTGTCTTACATTTACAGAGTTCTAAAGTTCAGAAAAGGTAGTTTTAGGATTGGTGGGATTGAGTTGATAAGAATGCCTTGTTTCCTGTCTATGAGCTGTGAAATAGATCAAGTATAACTTCTTAAGTGGAAAAAAACTAAACTAACATATGAGTGATGGCCTATGAGTAGTAATCTACTCAAAGAGATTAATTTTATTATTCTCTTTCTGAGGGAAATGTGTTCACAAAATAAACACCTCAGGACCACGGGAGATGAAATCTCTTCCCTCCTACTGGCAAACGTTAATTTTCTAGTAAATTGACATCCGTTCTTGCTTTATCACTAGTCCATATTTACCATATAGTCTCTATATATGTATCTGTGTGTATAAGTAGATATAAATACATTATATGTAGATATTACCTTATTAAATCAGAGCTGTTAGAAAAAAATTATGGGAGGGTTCCATGCTCCCAAGAAAAGAAAGGAATTCACAAGAGAACGTAATGAAAGTTGTCACAGTTGAGACCCTCTCTGATAGCAAGCCAACAAGGATTGTTTTAGGTAGGTAGATTTCCCTATATAATTGAAAAGACGTTTTTCTTATAATTGAGAAAGCTAATGTTTATTGAGGATTAAAATTTGCCTAGCTTTGGTGCTGTTTACATGTATTATTAATCCTCAAAAACAATCTATGTGTAATAAGGTATAGTATCCCCATTTTACATATTGAAGAAACTGGGTTTATGTTACCTACTTTTCATGGTCATACAAACAAATGGCAAATTGGAGTGTGAACTAAATGACTCTAGAGCTCACTCAGTATCCTAAAGTGCCTTCCTTCAAAATTCTATCAACACCTCTCTTGATGAAATTTTTCTTAACTAAGGATTCTGTTATATACCACAAATATTCAAAATGTCAGGAGAATTCCAAATTTTCAAGTTATAATCACATCTTTTCAGATGCCTTCTCAGGTCCTTTTTGTTGTCACAAAATCTAGGATTCAAACCAAGATTGCTTCAAAGTCCATGAGCAACCACTTCACTAAGCCTCTTCCATACCAAAAAAGTAAAATCAGCAAGGACCCTAACGATACACTTACATTCTGTGCATTTATGGACTATGTACCTAGTCAAAGAAATTTTCACCTAAAGTAGGTATGCATGGCCCTATAGAGTACTCCCCATATTACTTTATCCAAAATGTATATTCACTAACATGTCTTTTTCAGATTTTGTTTTTCAAAAAATTATGGTTGTAAGCACATGACTGTCCTAGAGGGATAGTGCTAGTAATATGATATTAAGTGTTCAAGAGACCTGGGTTCTAGTGTGACTCCCTCTGGCACTAATTTATCTGTATGACCTTGGGTATATCACATGTTCCTCTAGTTGTTAATTCTTATCTGCATAATGAGAAGTTATAACTGAAGATTACCTAAATTTATTTCTAATTTTATCTGCATCATTTTTGGCACTTTGTAGTAGGGTTAAACGCAATGTAATTTTAAGTTCTCTTTATTAAACATTGGATATTAAGATTTCAGTTATTTGATTCATAGTGTGAGAATCACTTCCTTATATTTTCTGTACTGATATCAAGAGAGAAGCATATGCCCCTCGGGTGTTCTTTGAGGCTTCCAGACCTCCATGGTTTACCCCTAGATCACAGCAAGACTGCTCTGAATACCTCAGGTTTCTACTAGACAGGTAAAAAGTATTTTGAAAGTTATGATTTGTTTTCTTTCATAACAGATTATTTCTATAGCATATTGTTTTTGCCTTTAAAAACATATTTCAAGTGTTAACCTTTAAAATACCTTGCATTAAAAAATAAAAATAAAAAAATAAAATAAAATAAAATACCTTGCATTTTCTGTATATATTTAAGTGTTCTTTTGTTTTTAATTGGCTTCTTTTTTTGGTTTTCTTACTTTGGACCAGCTGTTCTCAGAGTGTGGTACAAAGACCTCCTAGGGGTTCCTAAAACATTTTCAATGGTCTCTCTTTTCTATCTATATATCTGTGTATATGTAATTGAGACAGATTTTCTTCATATGTTTCATCCAGAAAAACATACCGCAATATATTAAACACAGAGCAGCTATGAGGATCCAGCTGTATTCTTTTAAGCCAGATATTTAAAATATTTGCAAAATGTAAAACAATGACATTCTTCTTACTAAATTTTTTAGTTTTAGAAAATATAACTTCATAATGAATGTTATGAACATTAACATGTAACTGGTTTATTTTTGTTTTTAGATGTATTATTTTATTACTATTATTCTCAATTTTTGAATATAGTAAATATTGATGGATATAGCCAAATGAATGAAGGCTGTTGGGTTCCTCAATTTTCTTCAGTTACTTTAAGAGTATAAGGGTATCCTGAGACCCAAAAATTTAATAGTTGCTCCTTTAGACCACTTTGTAACTAGATGAGTTTGGTATATTTTATTGTCTCTTTGCCACTTACTTAATAAAACCTTTATCTTCTTCTCTAGATCTTTGCCTCCCTACTGTTACATGAATAACTAGTAAGGTTACTTGAACTTATTAGCATGTACAGTCTTCCTTTGATTCAGCTAAGGATGTGTTGGGTGACTTCTTTGTACCAGGCTTGTCTGAGATGTGAGGCAAAGATAATATAACATAATTAATGAGCATATATCACTTACTATCATGTAATAAGTGCTATAAAATAGTATGGAGAAAGTATGAGGCTATAGGGTAGTGATAGCCCCTAACTTCTAGTCCTCATTCTTACATTATTCCATATTCCTCTTGATTAAAAGAGGAGAAACTTGATTTTTTAAATTAAGCATTCTATTTGATAAAAGTAATTTGGCTCTTCATATAAGCCACCAATATTTTTATTTTTATGTATAAACCACCAGTATTTTTAAATAGCAATGACATTGAAATGTAAGTGAAACAGCTGTATAATGATATACTCTCCTGCAGGCTACATGAAGAAGAAAAGATCTTGAAAGTTCAGTCCTCACACAAGCCTTCTGAAAGTCTGGGGTGCAATGAAACTTCTTTACAGGAAGTAGCCAGTAAGGCAGCTGTACTAACAGAGAACCCTTGCACAAGTGATGGTGAGAAGACTTTAATAGAAACAATGTTTGGAGGAAAACTACGAACTCACATACGTTGTTTGAACTGCAGGAGTACCTCACAAAAAGTAGAAGCCTTTACAGATCTTTCACTGGCCTTTTGTCCTTCCTCTTCTGTTGAAAACTTGTCTTTTCAAGATCCAGCATCATCGTCCAATACACAAGACGGTGGTCTAACGCAAGCCAATGCACCTGGTCCTGCAGAAGAACCAGCAACAGCTGCCTTTATTTGTGACTCAGCTATGAATGAGAGAATGTTAGGCAGTCCTCCTGATGAATTTTGCTGTACTGAAAACACTTGTGTCCCCAATGAATCTAGCAAGATTATTGTTAATAAAGATGTACCTCAGAAGCCAGGAGGTGGAAGCACACCTTCAGTAACTGACTTACTAAATTATTTTTTGGCTCCAGAGATTCTTACTGGCGACAACCAGTATTATTGTGAGAACTGTGCCTCTTTGCAGAATGCCGAGAAAACTATGCAAATCACAGAGGAGCCTGAGTACCTTATTCTTACTCTCCTGAGATTTTCATATGATCAGAAGTATCATGTGAGAAGAAAAATTTTAGACAATGTGTCACTGCCACTGGTTTTGGAGTTGCCAGTTAAAAGAACTACTTCTTTCTCTTCTTTGTCGGAAAGTTGGTCTATAGATGTTGACTTCACTGATATTAGTGAGAACCTAGCTAAAAAATTAAAGCCTTCTGGAACTGAAGAAGCTTGCTGCTCCAGATTGGTGCCGTATCTATTAAATTCTGTTGTCGTTCACTCTGGTGTATCATCTGAAAGTGGGCATTACTATTCTTATGCCAGAAACATCACAGGTACAGAGTCTTCATACCAGATGTGCCATCAGTCTGAAACTCTGGCATTAGCGTCCTCCCAGAGTCATTTACTAGGGAGAAATAGTCCCAATGCAGTGATTGAACAGGATTTAGAAACTAAGGAAATGTCAAAAGAATGGTTTTTATTTAATGACAGCAGAGTGACATTTACTTCATTTCAGTCAGTCCAGAAAATTACGAGTAGGTTTCCAAAGGACACCGCTTATGTGCTTTTGTATAAAAAACAGAATAGCACTAATGGTTTAAGTGGTAACAGTTCAACCAGTGGACTCTGGGTAAATGGAGACCCACCGCTACAGAAAGAACTTATGGATGCTATAACAAAAGACAATAAACTGTATTTACAGGTAAGTTGGAAATAGAGGTTTCATCGTTTGCAGAAAATATTTATAAACAATTGACAGTGGTCAAGTGAGTGCCCTAATTTTGAAATCCAACCTCTACATTTTCAAAGAATTTATAGAGTAGCAATTCTGAAATTGGAGTCTGGGTTTATGTAAAAAGGGTTCAGCCTATATAAATTGTCTTACTTTCTAATGTTAGGAATTAATTATGAAAAGTTGCAGTTAGATGCAATAGAAAATATCTTACTTGTTCTTAATTACAAAAGATGTAAAAAAAACAAAACAAAACAAAACAAAATTACAAAAGATGTGATTATAAAATCATTCCATACAGAAATATAGGAAACTTAATAACGAAGTATCTTCCCTCTCCTCTTTAGTCCCACCCATCAGGAGAAACAACTGCTGAATTTAGTGTTTATTCCTTTTAGACTATTTCATAAATATTTTAAGGGCATTTATTAACATTCAGGTGGATAAGATAAAGGGCATTGAAAGGTAGAATATGTAAAAAAAAAAAAAAAAAAGGATATTTGTATCCTGTAAAGACCCATGCAATAAAATCAAGGTAATAATAGAAAAATTAGTAAATAAAAGCCATGGAACAAAGGTTTCATATGAGCTGCATTTACTTACAAAAATACTTATTGCAAGGAGTTAGTAATTTTATTACTTAAAAGTTAATAAAGATCTTGCTGCAAGTATTTTTCTCTGAGATCTGCCATCTTGCCAACAGCATAACCACGAACACTAAATTGTAATGAAATTGTAGGTGTTATTAATTGGGTGGTCCAAGTGATTTTATGAGTTTACATAAGTAAGTCCTAAAAATTTTGTGTTTGAAAATCACAAAGCTGAAAGAGAGAGAGTAAAAGAAAAAAAAAAATGGGTTACTATAGTACTGATTTTTTAGAAGGAAGTCTTCTCAAAAGTTTTCAAATTTACTGTATTAAAAATATTCAGATAATGATACATGACAGCTTGGTAAAGGCGTATGGCAATATTCTAGAGTAACACAAAAATAATATATTTAACAGAAAAAAATTAAAGACAATATTTATTAAACATGATTTACCTGCAAAGATCCTTACATCCAGTCAGAAGGCTTATGATCAAGGCAATAGGATGTATTCAGCTGTATCCTTCTTGCTAGATACTAATAAGCACTAGATATTAATCAGGGTCCTTGAAGATGAGAGGAGGAATATGGGCAGGAGGTTGAAACAGAAACTTTCTGTGATATAGATAGAAAATAAGGTCCAGGACAACTTGACTTGCAGAAATAGGCAGATTATTTATGTATCGATGATTGGGCTAAATAGTCTATTTATCAGAGGAGAGATGTGAATTTTAAAATGATGAGGAACTACTCTATTTGTGATTGGATTGCCAAAAGCTCTTATAACCATAACTACTTTATTACAGCCTACCTCTAAATGATTTTCTTTTTCTTACTATTTAGTCCATTACAAGATATACAATATCTGAGTGTGATGAGCCATTCTTTTCATTATTGTTTTAAGGCCCCCTGTCACTATAATGGAAACCATTATGTGCTTTGTTAATTCAGTTTTTCAGTATTTACAGTTCTAAATTCCATCTGAAGTCTCAGATTGGCAAGTTGTTTAATGTAAAAAATACATTGCCAAATTTAAATTAAGATATTTATGTTCCTGTATTAAGATGGGGTAGTAAAGCTTATTACCAAAGTGCCTTTTTAAAGCAAATTATCATAAATATTCCGTTCTTACTAAAAAACTTAAATGTATTTATACATTAAATTATTTTTTAAATACAATAATGTAATCGATTTATGTTGAGGTTTGAATTGTGATGGTTCTCACATGATCTGAGTTGTACTGGTATTTTAAGTTCGTGTTAAGCGACTATTGAATACATGGAACACATACATGTGTGTGTTTTTGTTCTTTTTTTGTTTTTACATTTTTGAGGTATTCAGAATTGTGTTCATTCCATAGTAATAATGCTTTAAAACAGATTGCTAGGTCAAGAATACACCTTTAATTTTAAAATACAGCTTTATACTTATCTATAAAACAACTGCAAAAATTTAATCAAATCTTAATAAAAGTAAGGGTGTGGAGTGAACATTTTGAGTTCCTTTGCTCCTGAGGAGTACTGCAAATGAATTTACCATCATAGTTCATATCAGGGTAGCTACTTTCTTTTTTAATTCTTGGAAGTTCACCTTGTATAATTTTAACAAGCTGCTTCTGGGATTCCACTTTTAAATTTTACTAAAATCACATCTCGATTGACATGTGTTGGAAAGAAACTATTGCTCTTCTTAGTGTTGGTGAGATTGGTGGTTTTGAAAAGTGAACAAAAAATCCTATGTGACCAAACCATTTTCTGCTGTGTATCATAGCCTGACATATAGGATAGCAGAGCAGATGTGGATCTCCAAGTAAATTTTGGGAAGGGATTTTTTTTCTTCACTTATTTCTTTCACTTCAGTCCAACTTGCATAAGAATAAGAAGAATCTCTATTATCTTAGTGTCTGGACTCCAAAAATTATGCTTTTAGTTAAGATCCGGTGAGAGAAAGGTGGTACAAATAGATCACACATCAACTACAAACAGGGCTTCTGTCCTTTCTTGTTCAGTTTCTTTTCTTTGTTTCTCTGGAGGAGGTGGTAGTTCGATGTCTTAATAGTTTTCTTTATTGTTCATACAGAAGAGTACACATGATATATGTGTTGTTTAAAGAAAAATAGAAGATGGATTAATTTAATGTTAACGTATATCCTTGAATAAGAGATCTAATCTAAATATTCTCAAGTTATTTGTCCCAAAGCAACAGCAACCAGGCCTATAAGTCCACTACTGAAATAATTAATTTTAATATTTGATATTAAATGGGCATGTAAATTATATACACGATGAGAATCATAATTTTGACATTATACACAATGCTCTCTCATCTATATTAAAAGAAGTCAAGCAAAAAGCAGTCTTCCCTGCTTCAGTCGATTAAGCTTATCTTCTGAAAATAGGATATCAGACATTTCTGTCTGTCACCATATATTTATTTAAGTAGATGAAAAGCAAAGAAAGAATATTCCTTTCTTGGGAAGCCCTCTCTTAAAGTACCATACAGTTTTCACGAGTCTCAGAAGCAGTGGAGTTAATTTTGTATTGTGTGTCCTTTAAACACTCCTTCTCAGGGGAATTCCTTTATAACAAAATTTGCCCTATCTTTTGGGAGCAGAACTTCTTAAACTCTACCTGGCATATTCAGTTTTATTTATTTCATTAGAGAATATGATTTATACCTGAAATGAGATCTTAGGTACAGAGTCATATTTTCATTGCTTGTTTGGATAGTTTAATAGATCAAAGAACTAGAGCAATGAGAATTTTGTTTCTTATTTTAGTGTCTATTTCTTACATTCATACCTATAGTTTTTATCTTCTATCTGTAAAACTAAAAATTTTATTTTCTATTTTAATTCTTAATTTTACAGATTAAAAAATAGATTGTGTCTTTAAAGAAACTATACAAAAGAACCTGCACAATAAATTTTTTAAAATTTTTTTGAGAAATATCTTGCAAATTAAGTTTTAAAAGCTTCTCTAAGCCCTGCCCGAGACTGGTTAATTAGGCCATTCTGTTACAAGGATTTCTTATCTAAGGTCACATTCAGCTATAAAAATAAGTGATTCTTGATCATTTTTTTGTATGGGCAATTGCACAGCTGTCACTGTATGTTACTGAGAAATAAGGTGTCTATAATGTGAGAAAAATAGATGTCCAAGCAGGCCTGCTTTTTTACTCCATAGTAAAAATTGAGCATCTTGTGAAGATAAGAGAATAGTTAGCTAAAAATATTTAGTTAGAAATTATAAAATAACACTACCTTGTCAGGTGGAACAAAGTAACTGAACTTTTAGTTGAACCTTTGAAATAGTATAGTTTTTATGATTACTGTTAAGGGTATTTTTAAAGTTCTTCAGGATGATGATGCCTAACAAGTTAAAAATAGCTTTTAGACCTAAATGACACTGACTTCATTCGAAAGTTATAGAGCCTTTCCCAGAAAAATGGGCATATGCTAGGGTATTTTGTATTTTCTTCCAACGCGATTGTACCGGTTTTAGAATGCCAATTTGACACCTTGCCAAATGAATTCGCCATTATTTATTTACAGTTGCTCCTCCTGAAGCTAAATAGCTGATAGTGTTCTAATCTAAGATTATTAATATTTATTGAACACCTAATATGTGTCTGGCACATAGACAAATATGACTGGTTCCTGATACAAAAGCTCTGATAATCTGGTGGGGAAAAGTTACAAGTAATACTGTAAGGAGATAGGCTCCATTTTCCTTAGCAATGTTATTGAAATCTTACTTGTATTTACTGAGAAGTTTCTAAGGAAAGGGTAGGCAACATTCAGCCTTCTTTCATTATTGATACCTTTTACTATATCACCCACTTACACAATATTCCCACCTGATAGAGTAGATAATCCATCGTCATAGCCTTTAAATTCTGCATTCTGTGTATTAGAAAGGAAATCTATTCCTATGTGTGTCTATGAGTATTCACAATAATATTTCTGTAGAGGAATTTTAGGATGTGGAGCTTCAGGGTTCTCATCTGCAAACTGAGTGTTGAAACAGAACGGCCTGTAAGATCTGTTATTCAGTGTAGTTGCACCAGGATTTTGCACTCTATCTTACCTGTTCCATCTGTGATTATGCACTTTAGTAAGATTGGTAAGGATTAGTATAGTCAGTATTTTTTAGATTACTGAGATTTGAGGGATGCTTATTAAGGGTTAAGTCAGTTTTAAAATGTTTATATAGATGATTTACTCATCCATTGTATTTAGGGTTTTAATTGTATAAAAATTCTTTTTAATTTTAGGAACAAGAGTTGAATGCTCGAGCCCGGGCCCTTCAAGCTGCATCTGCCTCCTGTTCATTTCGGCCCAATGGATTTGATGACAATGACCCACCAGGAAGCTGTGGACCAACTGGTGGAGGGGGTGGAGGAGGATTTAATACAGTTGGCAGACTCGTATTTTGATCCTGAGAAAATCCAAAATGCACTGGTCACAAAACACCTAATACTATGACTGTTAAAATGTCAGACTGTAGCAAATATCATACCTATCTTTAATTTTTCTTTCCATTAGGCCCTTTATACTTTAAGAAAAGACACTCAGTGCTTGTTTTTATTTTCCTGACAATACATTAATTAACAAATGCATCATGGGAAAAAAAAACTACCTCTTAAAATTCCACTTGCTCTTACGGTTTGAGATGCTTGACCAAAAATTTTCAGAGGAAAATATGTACCCGGTCCCTAATTAAGCTGCATTAAATTTAGCAGAGACATTTAAATGGTCTCATTCTCAGTTTTATTAAACAAAAAATATACTTAGCATCTTTTATAAAAGAATTGATGCTAGAAATTATGGAAATATTGCTTAAGAAGAAAAAAAATCCTTTATTTCTTGCATAGTAGCCCATTATTAAATTCAAATCTTTTAAAATGCTAAAGAGAATACAGTCTCTAATGAAGGCAATAACAGAATTTATCAAGCTATAGTACTTTTCAGGTTTTTGTTTAGTGCTGTCTTCAGCCTCAGTGTATCTGCGTTTCAAGTACAAATGTTTTAAAAAAGGATTATTTATACATATATGCTGAACTGATTTTAAGAAAGGTGCATGATCCTGTAGGAACAACGTTTTTACCTAAAAATTGCTAACTTTGTAGTATTTCTAATTGTTTAAGGATTTTCAAATTCTATTTCAGGGAGTATATCTTCTGTGTGTTTTGAAGGAGGTGTGTTCTATATGTGCCTTGCAGTACTGTAATTCAAAAATAGGAACCTTTGGCTGCGGAAAAGTTTTTAAAAAATGAAATGTTAGGAAGTAATTTTTGTGCTAACATTAAAATTATAACTTTTTGAAAGATACTAGATTTTCCTGAAGTAAAATCCGATGGTTCTAAATCAATAAGTGCGATAGATTATTTTTAAATCATAGAAGAATTCAGAGGAAATGAACCTAGGCAAGTAAAAGATCTTTTTTGTTTGTTACTTAATCCTCAGATTATTAAATGTCAATTGCATATTTTTTAGATTGTACATTTGGGTTTTTTTTTTTTTCATTTGAATCTTGTGCTCTGCACAGTTGTTTCTGTTTCATAGTTTCAGATAAAATGGTGAAATGTCAGGCCCTGCCATCCCACATTTTCTTTTACCAGGGAGTGGGAAACAAATCAGTCCTCCTGGATCTTGATTGTACACTTTCAGGAGTTATCCCAGTTGTCCCTTTTCCTAGAGGTTTTAACTTATCTCTGGTTGTACATTGTTCTGAAATCGATCTCCTGTTTATTTTGAAAACATTTTAAGGAAAGAGTGTTCTTTGGTGATTTGGAGTTTATCTTTTTCCCAAGCTCTTAATGGTGTTGGTTAAAAGCAGAACTCCTCATGTGCATTCCAAATGTCCCACTCCTAACCTGTTTCCAGTCGCTGGGAAGATTAGGAAAACTGACTGGATTAAAGCTAAAAATTCTTTGCAGAATTGATTGAAATTTGTCTTTTCTATAAATGAATGAAACAGATTTTTATCACTGTCCTTCCTGTGGGCTTCCTCTTGTCTTAATAGTGAATTCCTAAGCTACCCTATTTGTTCAGTTATCCACTGGCTAGTAATTTATTATAGGATTATATCAGTGTTAGCATTTATTGAAATTGGTAAAGTCACTTAATACTTGATACATTAATATTGGGCTCAGCTGCTTTGGGGAACTTTCTTTTAAAAAAAAAAAGATTTTATTATTTATTCATGGTAGAGAGAGAGAATGAGAGAGGCAGAGACACAGGAGGAGGGAGAAGAAGGCTCCATGGAGGGAGCCTGACGTGGGACTTGATCCCTTGATCCTGGGCCTCCAGGATCATGCCCTGGGCCTAAGGCAGCGCCAAACCACTGACCCACTGGGGCTGCCCTGGGGAACTTTCTTAAAGACAGACCTACACACCGTTTTATCTATGAATACCACCATATCATTGAAGGACTTTATGCGTCAAGGTAATACATACTGAATTTTCAAAATGATAAAAATGAAATTCTAGCTATAGAATAATACTGGGACTATTCAGATGCTAATTTTATACCAGTACCAAAGACATGAAATTAAAGGCATCCTTTTAAGATTAAAACTATAATAACATTAATCATTTGCTGAATTTAGAGTATATCTACAGAATACTTGAAATTGAAACTGGAATAGCCAGAGGCTCCATTCCCCATACTCCTAACCCTTGTGCTTTCCTCTGCCTCTTGTACATTCTGTAAGGTCTGAGTCTGCTAGAGTACTATTTGCTGCCTCTCTTTAGTTCGTTCCAAAGTAATCATTTCAAATGAAGCTGCTCAGTCAGAGATGCTCAAAAGAGCACATTAGGCCTCACCACTAACGAAGATGAAAAACTGGAAATCTAGGTCTGTTCTTTTCAAAGACCTTTATTGACACATTGTGAAAAATAGAATTTTTCTTTTTTATGCAAGTAAATAATATATATAATATGGTCAGTCATGCAAGCCCTTGTAATCCATTTCACTAAGCAGGTGCCTGTGCACCTCTGACTCATGACATTTGCGTAGCTCAACTTGGAGAACAGAATCTAATTCGTTCTTTGCTCAAGCTTCTTCCCACCACCTCTCTTCCAGCTAAATAATCGGAAACAGCAACATTGGTCTTGAGATCCCTGATTTTTGTCTCCCTACCTTAAGGCTCCACAAGAAACCTTTGGGTAGAAATCAAGATTTCCTCATGATAGCTAGAGGTATTGGGGGGGAGGAGTCCTTGTAACAGATTCAAAAAAGCCTATTGCTAACTCACATCTAGAAAGAAAACATATTTCAAAACTAAGTTTAAAGCTGAAATCTGTAATGTTCCTTCTCAATTAGTTCTCTTTATGATAATGTTATTTACAAAGTCGCTGTCTTTTCATATGCTACCTCCTTAAAGACTTTGGCTAACCTCTCATAAGAAGGAGTTGATTGCTTCTTGTGTGTGCAGCACAGTTGAAGGAAAAAAATTGGTATAGTCTGTCCAGTCACAGATACTGATGGAAATCACCATTTTGATGTTGTGTACTTCATTGCAGTTCTTAGTTCTCAGTATATCTTTTTCCTGTGATTGTGCACTTCACATACTCTATTCAAAGGGAGCTTTTTAAGTGACTATTTCAGAGGAAATAATACTGTACATTTACGTATGGTATCTTTCTCATATGAATGCTATACTTTCTCTGTCCTTTTGTCCTCTGCTTTTTTCTAGTGAATGTAGATTTCTAGAAGTATTGCTGAAATAAAGGACAAGTTATTCAGTTATTCACATCTTATAAAAACTTACCAGGAAGTGTTAACGGACTTCTATTAACGCAGTAACATCATCCGGGAGAGTAAGGCTGAACCTTGGGTAATGTAATCTGAGACCTTATAGTGCAGCAGTTAGCAAATTTAAATTAAAAATCCTCTCAATAAGGCTGAAAAAAATCTGAGCTGCTCCATATGTACATTCTTAAGCATTTACCAATCTGTCATGTACCATCATAGTGTCAGTCTTACTTTGTTTTACTAAGTTAATTTTCTTACAGAGTTCTTTTTAGGAGTGAGTGAATCTCAAAATGAATAGGGGATTTAAAAAAAACAAAGATTTAAAGTAAATAGTACTTAAAAAAAAAACTATCTTGTAAAGAAATTGCAGTTTCCCCTTATAAGAAATTGCTATAGAAATAATTTCTAAAGAAATAAAGATTTTTATAAAAGCAACAACCTGACTTTTACAGATTCAGAGAGATTTGTTATGTAAAAACCTGTAGCCCCAGTGTTATATAACTAGTGTGGATTTGACATTAAAAATAGAATCTAAGAAGTCAGCCAAGTGTGTTGCCAGCATTCATCAGTGTCAGTTATGGCCTGCAGTTGTTTTTCTCTTAATAGATCTCATGTTTTCATATTTTGCTTTGTGTGCTAGACACATACACACACGCACACACACGCACGCACTTTAATTTCAGAGGGATGAAAAAGTCTTCACTAGCTAGATCAACAGATTTCAACTTTGCAGTCATGTTAAAATCACTCAGAGAGTTTATAAAAATAACAGTATATCCAGGCTTCACCCCAAACCAATTAAGTTATGTGGGTACTGGGCATCAATATATTTTTTTAAGTTCCTCATGTAATTTTGATGTGCAACATCGGTTGAGAATTTCTGGGCTAGAAAAGGACTTTTTTCTAGGGGTTTCATCCAAGAGCACTAACATATTGACTGTCTACCATGTGCTGGAGACTGGCTGACTTTTATAGATCTTTTTCCTCATACCTTTGCTCTCAGATCAATAAATAAAGTCATATTAAGAAACTTACTCAAAATCACGCAACTAAAAAATTAAAAATTGAGATTTTTTAAAAATCTGAATTGAGATTTTAATCCAAGCCTTAAGAACTCCAAAGTCAGTACTCTAACAGAGAGGTAGTAACAGGTGGGAGAAAAATGTGACCTAAAGACTTATGCAAATTATGTACTAATAAAGGCTTGCAATGAATTTTATGAAATAAAATCTCTATAATATTTCACTTCTCTTTGCCCTTCAGATATGATTCCAAAAAATAAAGTGAGATCTGTTTTATTAAAACTTTTGTAGATAATGATCTAAATGGTTGAGGAACATGGTTCTTAGCAAACTCATTTCCTAGACCAGTTTAATTCTTTCTTGCCTAATTTCTTCCATTTTTCCCTTTCTGTCCTTCCTCAGTCATATTAGATCTTACATCGTGTACTCTAGGCTTTTGTATATGCAGGTCTTAGTAGAACATACCATTCCCCTTACTCCTCCTTCCCCTCCCTGTTTTCTGTTGACTAATTTCTGCTCACCTTTCACTGTACTCTAGTCTCCTCATACTACACTCCCAAACTGGTTAGTGTCTTGTCTTATCCTGAATTGTGTCTTACTACTTCTACCTGAAAAAGCCATGGCTTTAGTAGTGGAGCGAAATTAGCCCTAGAGTAAAGGCTGATCATTTACAAAGATTGAAAGCAAGCCTTGATCAAACTCCTCTGTGAGTAATTGTAGTACAAACTCCAATATTTTTTATTTATTTATTTATTTTTTTAACTCCAATATTTTTTAAAGGAGCACAACAAACCTAGCATTTAAGAAAGTAAAATTCCAGCATCTGTTAAAAATAGCAGGCATTCAGAGGAGGAAAATATATCCAGGGGAAAAACAATACAAATAGATTCAGAAATTATGAAAGGGAATTGACAAACTAGGAGCTTAAAAGAACGTAAAGAAAAACATGAACACAATTAAGAAAGAAGTGGAAAATCCAAAAAGCTCCGTCCTAGGAGAATAATATGAAGTCACACGATGACATCATAATCAAATTACTTAAAAATAATAACAAATTCTTAAAAGCAGCCAAAGAAAAAGAACACATATAGGTCAGCAAACTGTATACAACCCTCCAGCCAAATCGATCTGGCCGCCAGGTTTTTCATAGAAACACTGCCCTGTCTGTTTGTTCACCTGTTGTCTGCGGCTGTTTTCACACTACAAAGGCAGAGTTGAGTAGTTGTGACAGCAACCATAGGGCCCGCAAAGCCAAAAGTATTTACGAGAACGCTTTATAAAAAAGTGACCCCAGAAAAAAAAAAAGGGTAAAGTCTTTTAAGAAGATACGCAAGCCAGAAGGCAATGGAATGACTTAGATCTAAAAAGTGCAGAAGTAGGGAGCGGGGGGGGGGGAATGCAGAAGGAAAAAAAAATTGTGAACCTGTGAGTATCCACTGTATCAGTAAAAATGTCATTCGAAAAGATGTTCATAGACAAAAGCAAGAATTTTTCCTTGAATATTTGTACTATGTAATATGTTAAAGAATTCTTCAGGCTGAGGGAAAAATGGTACCAGATGGAAACTTGGATCCACATAAACGAATGAAAAGTACTGGGAACAGATTTGGCACCATTGACTCAATTTACAGAATATACAGGAGAGGAGGGACAGCTTTGGAAAACCTCAAGACTCACGCTGTGCCCGTGAGCAGCAGTTTGGGTCTCCTGCTGCGTCCACC